GAAGTTCTCTGTTAAACGACAACAACGCTAGCGACTCAAGCCTTCTCATAACTAAATCCGCCACAATAGGTGATAATGGTGAGCCCATGGGTGTACCAAAACATTGCTTATAAATCTTCTTATCAAATACGAAATATGTAGAATTCAAAACAAGATGTATAGAGTCCAAAAATTCTTTTTTAGGTAGTGAACATGCCCCGGAAGTAAAACACCACTGCTCATTAATACAGTCAATCGCCATTTCAAGAGGGACATTCGTAAACAGCGATATAACATCAAGAGAAACCAACTCATATTTGTCTTCCATATTCACATTTCTTAATTTCTCTATGAGCTGAAAACTATTTTTTATATAACTATCAGCTTTCGGAATCGACTGAAACATAACGCTATGCAGAAATGACGCCAAAGCATGTAAGGGGCTACCAATGGAAGATACTATTATATTATTCTTAATGGAAAACCTGTTTTGTGTATTTTGGGCAACCCATAGGCTCTGGGCAGAACACCATCGCTACATTTAAAATCATCCTCACTAAATTCAATTAGAGATAAATGGTTTATTAATTTATCTGAAATAGATATTCCAATCAATATACAATGCTTTTTAGAACTTGGTGAGGGATTTGCGCTTCCTTTCAGTAATAAGAGCAGCGTTGTTTTCGATTGTATAAAAAGCATTGAGAAAAAGCACAATGAAAATGGATATTAACAAAAAAATGGCTATTACTAATAATGCAATCCCGATTCTTCATGGTTTTGTATCTGCTCCTATCTTCACTTTGCTTAATGATAAAAAATTAAAGTCAATGGAACGTGAGGTGGTCGATTTTATTGCTGCTCATCATGAGGTCATCTTTACCCATGCTGACAAGGGTAATGTAACTGTCGCCATGGATAGGGATGACTACATTAGAAGGATGAATTTGGTTTTTGAAGATAGAGAAACTTATACTGTTTTAAATAAAGACCCGATCAAAAAATTAACAACATCTCTAAGAAATTTGCTCACCGGTTGGAGGAACAATGAATATATTAATTATTCGGAATATAGGACTTTGTACTGCAGTGATGGTGTTCTGCCCAGAGCCTATGGGTTGCCCAAAATACACAAAACAGGTTTTCCATTAAGAATAATAGTATCTTCCATTGGTAGCCCCTTACATGCTTTAGCGTCATTTCTGCATAGCGTTATGTTTCAGTCGATTCCGAAAGCTGATAGTTATATAAAAAATAGTTTTCAGCTCATAGAGAAATTAAGAAATGTGAATATGGAAGACAAATATGAGTTGGTTTCTCTTGATGTTATATCGCTGTTTACGAATGTCCCTCTTGAAATGGCGATTGACTGTATTAATGAGCAGTGGTGTTTTATTTCTGGGGCATGTTCACTACCTAAAAAAGAATTTTTGGACTCTATACATCTTGTTTTGAATTCTACATATTTCTTATTTGATAAGAAGATTTATAAGCAATGTTTTGGTACACCCATGGGCTCACCATTATCACCTATTGTGGCGGATTTAGTTATGAGAAGGCTTGAGTCACTAGCGTTGTTGTCGTTTAACAGAGAACTTCCTTTTTATTATAGATACGTGGACGATGTTTGTTTGGCTGTTGATGTGTCGGATATTAACTTATTATTGCGTAATTTTAATGAATTTCATCCCCGTCTCCAATTTACTGTTGAAATTGGAGGTGATAGACTGGAGTTTTTAGACGTGTCTATGATTAAGAGGGATAATAGACTAATTTTTGACTGGTTCCATAAACCTACTTTTTCGGGTAGATTTTTGAATTTTCTATCTAACCACCCACTGTCTCAAAAAAGAGGTACAGTTTTTTCTTTAGTTGATAGAGCATTTTTTTTGTCGGATATTAGTTTCCATTATAAGAATTTTAACTTCATTATTAATATTTTATTAGATAATGATTATCCTCTAAATTTCATTTTTGATACTATTAATCAACGGTTAAAATATTTGTTAAAGAATAAATTTATTGTCAATGACCAACCTACTAATACTCAAAGCAATTCAAAGTCTGTTTCTTGGCTTACTGTACCTTTTGTTCCGTGTCATACAAAAAAATTTTAAAAATTTCATAATAATGATATCAGAGTTTCTTTTCGTAGCCCGAATAAAATGAGTAAATATGTTAAAGTTCAAAAAGATGCTCTTTCAAAAGATTCTAGAAGCAACGTGGTCTATAAAATTTCATGTAGCGGTTGCGATGCATCTTACGTCGGCCAAACAAGCAGACAATTAAAAACGAGAATTTCCGAACATCGTAATCATATTAAACGGAACACGACAACACGTTCAGTGATTACTGAACACAGGTTACAGCACGGCCATGACTTTCGATGGAATGAAGTAGAGATTCTTGATGAAGAATCTAATTACAGGAAGCGCATAGTGTCTGAAATGATTAACATTAAAAAACAGAAGAACAGTTTGAATTTGCAAACAGACACTGAAAACCTTCATGAGACATACATTCCGTTGATAAACAAAATTTGACTTTGCTGTGCTGTTTCCTTTTTAGATCATGGCTAATTGTTGTATCGTGCAGACGTGTTAATTTTCTGCCTTCTTGTCGTTGAATAAGACTAGCGGATTCATTATGGATTTCGACAATTTTGTAAACCTTTTATTTGAGAATTGTGTGCTGATGTATCCATGTATCAAGGTTTGGAAACTTAAAAATTGTATTTCTTGTTAATCATTTATATATAATTAATCTTATTGTTTACAGAAAATTATTGTCTTGATTCTTTTATAGATTTATTATCGATCTATCAATCGCTTATAATAATTTCTTTATCTTGGTGTTGGATGCATCACTTTTTTTCATCAATGATTTTTCTGTACGATGTTTTTCTGTTGGTTACTTCTGAAGAAGACTCAATCCACGAGTCGAAACATGTAAAGTTTTCTAGATTTTATTATTAAGCTTATTTTTATTTTTGTATTGATTTTGTTCTTGTTTTTCATATTTATGTACACACGTTTATATCTTCAATTTTAGTCATGTTTTTTATGTGAATTTATATTACTTCTTTTTATCTTTTTACTACGTTATTAAAGAAAAAATTTTTAATTTTTGACTCTTAATTTGTCTTTTTAGTTTCTTTTTATTTTTGAGAATAAGAGTCCTTTACTTATACTTATTTATTATTAATGAAAAGACTTACAATGTGTTTTCCGCATCGTTACAGCCCGCGGTTTGTTATATAACAGACAAAATATATATATGAATGTATTGCACTTACACATGTAGCTGCTTTATCTGTTTTTGCTATTTCTAATAAGTTATTAGAAATATTCAGATAATGCTGATATATATATATATATATGAGTGTATTTATATTCAATATTCTGCATATGTATATGATATTATAATATACACATTTGTAGACAATATAAACACAACAGAAATGTAAATACACAGACATAAAAGACTCGTACTGAACATTCATGTACATATTGTCTACAAGCAATATTAGAATTTTATTTATATTATGTAATATAATGAATGTGTGTATGTATATACATGAATAAAATGTAATTCTAACAATACATATGAAAACACATTTGTGAATATAAATTTCAGAATTATACTTTATGTTATTTGTACCATACATACACATTATCATACATAAAATATTTGAATATTGCACACAGACGTGTATTGGTGATACATGCAATGCTATAACTATATTCAATTATATTCTAAGTACATTGTGTGTATGTACATACATATATAATTATAACATTGCATGTGGCAATACATGTCTATCTGCAATATTTATGTATATCATTGTGTATATACATACATATGTATGCAAACATAAAACATATAAAGTGTAAATTCATCTAATATGTACCTTTACATGCAATATTAGAATTAAATTTTATGTATATACTATACATAACGGAATGGCATTCACAGCTGCTAATATATCTTATACTTGAGCATAATCAATTCAGACGTTATGATTGCAGTTGTCATAGCCATGTTGCCCAAGCTTTTACATCTCTAGGATGTAACAAAAAATTGTCTTCATAATTACACATTTGGCATTTGAAGAAGAACTATGGCAATATCAGTATCATCAAGCGACGCGGTAGCGTGGCGACGCCAAATGCATAAAATAAAAATATAACCGTTTGACATGATGACATGATACTTGATGCGTGTATATATGTTCATGTCGATGTCAAATTCACGACGCTACCACTAGCTTTATCTCGAGTTTTCACATCTTGAAACTTTAGATTAAAATTACTTAGAATTTAAAAGCACAATCAAAAATCTAAAAACACTTTTCTTATATAATGTCATCGGTATCTTTCGATTGCGACCAGTCCGAATAAAATTGGTGCAGCCGATACCGAGATCTAGAGACCAAGTCCCGAAAAGGGTACGTTTCAGTTATGTTCAGACGTACGTGTGACACATACATGTATTTTTCAATCGTACGTGTGACACATACATGTAAAGCGTTTTGTCCATTAGGCTGCTGTTCACAATGTCTACATTCAAAAAACAGTCACATGTGTAATAACATACATATGTGTATAACACATGTATGTACATATGTAATAATAAT